TGCCAATCTTGATATTCCAGTTTTGATGATGGTCATCAATTAATTAGATTATCAGAATGCGGTAAGAGTAGTAACTAAACCAATATGATCTGGGTTGGGTAAAGCACATATCACTGCTTTATTATTTTTTTTCAGGGTTTCAGTAGTGCTGTGGCGGCAGTATGCAAAGCAAAGTGTGCGGACAGCCTTCGACGGGGGGTGACATGGGAGACGTTCTGCAGATCCCTCTGATGGGACTGCCAACAAAATGCTCCTCAGGTCCTTGTTGATGTGGCTTTTCTGTCCCCCTTTGACGTAGGGGGACAGAAACCTCAAAGGCGTCTTATTCCCCCTTAAGCACCAGCAGCCTTTATCTACTTGGCAGTAATGATATAGTGCAGTCTAGCGTTACCTATTTTAGCACATAGATATATTATTATTCGTGATAGGTTTGTTCCCCAGATAGAGCCTTACTACTCAAAGTATGGTCGGGGGACGGGGAAGGTTGACTGACCTCAGCTGGGAACTCAGATCTGCAAAGCTTAAGGCGTTTCTACCTCCGTGACCTGGACCCGCTTTGTTAGCTCATGGCCTCCAAGCAGCACACAGCAAGACAGGATTTGGTCTGTAGGGTTTGTTGGGGAAGACCCCCAGAAGGGGAAAGGAGAGGGAGCTCAAGAAGGCTGCGTGTAGGTGTGACCCCAGTGAAGGAAAGAGGGCAGCACAGTTCTAAGCGTGTTTCTGGCACGGCCACCTGGAGACCTCCAGCCAATGTCACATGTTACTGAAGTTCCATGTCTCACAGGAATGAGTCTGTCTCATGTTTCTGCTGCTTCCAGTTGTTTTCTGAGAGCAGCTTGTGGAGAGCTGGGCTTGCATGCCAGTGGGACTCCCGGGCACAGCCCCTGAGGCCACCTTTCAGTCCCGCTCATGGCAGCAAGGATTTGACTGGCGTTTTCATGGCAGCAAGGATTTGACTGGCGTTTGTCCCCAGCAGCCACACGTACTGAATCAGGATCTGCAGTCTAACGAAATCTCCAGGTGGTGACATGCATGTTAAACTTGAAGAGGCATTATCCAAAAATAATAATGTGATGCTTCGGAGGTCCTACCCAGAGTCAGTAACATTGTTGGTAATCATCATAGAATCTTCTCAAAAACGCTTCCCTTCTCAAAAGCTCCCTTGGGATGGTGTTTTTTATAGTTCATTTTTTAATAGAGTTGCTGTTCAAAGTGAGAACTAGAGCAGATAATTTATTGTTAATTTGTAACAAATGTGTGAAGCGGATTTTGGGCTAAAGATTTCCAAGATGCTTTGCCTCTTTGCTGTAAGAAGCTAGATATAATTTACTTTCTTTTGCCTTTTTGAGTTGAAGGTTCCTATAGAAATAATTCTGTATTTCTGCATCTATTGTCTTTTTACTATGTGGTACGATGTAGATTATGATTCTTGTGACAGCTGGAAATATACAATGTTAGACAAATCTTACTGCCTTTTATCTGCCGACCCAGTGCTTAGTATTTGGGGGTTCTCTTTAGGACAGAATAGACTACCAAGTAAGCTTTGCCACAAGGCCTTGTCACCTTCTTTATGGGCTTCCCAGGAGTTCAAGATGCCCACACTCCCGTGCATGATCAGGACACCCCATAATTCCCATGTGATCATCCTCTGAACAGTGGGTCCCCAGGCTTCCGTCCAGGGACAGCTGCTTGGTCAAAATTGTATTTCCTCAGTCTCCATACAATAAGGTCATGAAATCAGTACCTCTCAAAAGGTACTGAAACTGTTTGAGTTTCCAGGTGATGAAACTCAAACAGACTTGGGAACCACTGCTGTAAGGTAACATACATGTTTAGGATGCAGGCCTGCCTCATACAAGTATCCGTTGATGGAATGGTGTAACGTCCTCGGCATTCCACATGCCACTTTCTCTTGTTTTCTGGAGAGTCACAGTAAAAACAAAACTAAATCCCTGTTAAATATAACATACTTTGTTACACTCAATACTATTTACAGTCCATTCTCCTCACGTCAGTTTAAAACACAGGAGTGCCTCTGCTTCCCGTAGGAAAAGCTCTGCGCTCCTTGGTGGTGTGTGTGGTGGAAGGGTGCTGGTGCTTAAGCCGGGCAGCTGGAGTCCAGTCCTGCTCCACCACTTCCCAGCCATCGAGGGCGAGTCACTTAGCCTCTCTGTGCCTCTGTTTCCTCAACTGTAAAATAGGGACAGCAATGGCATCTCTGTCCTAGGGCATTGGGGGTGAGTTGGATTAATTCTGTACGTATTAAGTGATTTAACTTAATAAACACACAATGGTGGCGGAAGTCCTGGCAGATTAACATACAGCGTAGGTGCCAGGTAAACAGACTGGGACTCACCTGGCCTTCCAGGGACAGACAGTCTGAAGGGGGAAGGAGACACGGAAAGGTAAACGAGCTACTTCATATGAGCAATGCTGTTACAAATTTGAGCACGGCGGTAAATGGTTAGGGAGTCGAGAGAAACTAAATCCAGTAAACTGGATTACATAGTAACTCAAGTTCCCAGATACATAATACAATTTAGTACCTCCCAAACCACAAGTTTCTCTTACATAAAATTTGCATATTCATAATTTTGTTCCTACATACCTTTCCAATGACCACAGGCAATTTAGTTCTAGTATGTGTGAACAGCTAGGTCCATTCTCTTAGGAGTAATGTGAAAAAAAGAGAAACTGGGCATTGAACATACAAAAGGGAAAAGAAATGAACCACAGAAGAAAAGTAGAGAATTTTCAGTAAAGCCTTTAAGAAAGAGTAAAGCCAATGATAGAGATAAACCATACCCCGTGGTTTGGGGAGGATGTGGGCTGCTGACATTTAAGAGTCGCTGGCAGATGTATCAGGAGACTGCAGGACCCTGGCAGGATACATATGCATGCAGTGTGGCTTGTCAATACATACGGATGTAAAACAGCATTGAACGTACGTGTTACAGAAGACACAGAGATGGATGCGGAAGTGCCTTTTGGTATGAATGCAGGCTCAGCTTCCTATGTTTATGTGACTTGGGAAAATTGTGTGACTTTCCTAAATCTCAGGTCTCTCATCTGGAAGACGGGGGTTAGATTAGTACTAACCAAATAAGCTGGTTAGGATTGATTGAGAAAGTTCCCTAAAGCATTTTGCAGGTAATTTACAAATGGCCAACAGTAATGTTAGTTCTTGCTATTCATGATGGCTATTAATACATTGTTTATTTTCTGTAGTCAAGCAAAATTAATTTATAGATATCGCAATCATATTGAAGGGGACAGCTATGTAATACAGTAGTCATTATTTCCCAGATGGCAGGTGATATTAACTATTGTTGCCTTTATTTAGAATATACAGCCTTTGGTTGTCCTATTCCAGTGAATGTAAAATATTATTATAGTTTCATAAGCACATTACTTATCTCTCTTTTCCCCATCCTGTTTATTCACATGCAGGTTTAAGTTCCTGTAGAATTTCACCTACACCTGAAGAACTGTAGCATTCCAAAATTCCTTGATTTCATTACGTAATTTAATAAATAATTGGCAGCACACCAGTTTTGCTAATGGTGCTTCTAAAGTGCTTGTATATTTTAAATATTCTCCCTCTTGTCATGTACAGCCTGTTTCCACCGTTTCTGGTATTGGTAATTTTATGGAACTCAGATAAACAGTTTGATTTTGCAAACTTTAATATGAGCAGAGTATTCTGAGTGACCTATTAGAGGACCTCTCTTAAGGGTCACCTTTCCTCCCCAGCTCAGTTAGGTGACTCCTGCTCCCAGAAACCCTGCACATTCTCTATCTCTATATCCTTTTAACTGATTTGAACCTTCAGACAAGTTGTGAGTGCTTCAGCCTTCATGGCAGGGGTCCTGTCATGCAGCACTCAGCAAATGCTCAGCTGATATCCGTTACGTGAGCGAGTGAGTGCTGCCCTCCCACATACGTCACTTAGCCAGTTCTCAGGCCATGATTAGTGCACCAGGAGCCGATGCAGTGAGTCATTCAATTCAGAGTCCTTCAGAAATAAGGTAAAGGTAGATAAAAATAAGAAAACTTAGCAGGGGAATAAATACTAGCCTAATTCAAAGACTCTTACCTATGGAATAGATGTCTTTGTTTCTGAAGCAGACTCCCTGCCCTTCCTCAGATGCCAAACGCCTTGCCCTAGTGGTCTGGTTACTGACGACTCAAAAGCCTCCCTAAGGTGACAGGTCCACCCACCCCGGAAGACCGAAGAAGGTTCCCAACACGACCAGCTGTAGTCTGAGGCCTTGAATTCAGAGCTGTCGACCTTACACACCTCAACTCTTAAAGATACTATAAGTGATATTAGCAAAAGGAATAGCATACAAAAAAAATGTTTACCGTGTAAGTCCAGGAATTGAGCAGTCATCTCTTTGTTCACAGGAACTTGAATTATGAGACATAATTATGTAATAAGAATATGGTAGGCATAAATCAACATCGAAAACTACCATCTGAGCCACCCAGCACATGCTGTGTCGACCCAGTGTGAAAGCTAGCTTCTGCCTTGCATGTGACAAGTAATCAGAAAGAGGAAAGACGTTGCAGGTGTGACAGGAAACAGCTTAAAGGACTGGCTTGGCGTCGTCTGTAGCCTCAGCCTATACCATTCACCTCCCGTTGCATGATGGCTCTCAGCTGTAGGTCGTAGTTGGGCCTGAGCACCTCAACCCAGCGTGTTGCAGCCTTCTCACTCCACGTGCCCCAGAACTGCTGCTATTGGTCAGGATCCAAGAAGAAGACTCAGCAGCTGCCCTGACACATGGGTTTCCCCCATTCAAGTGGCAATCAGGGCGTTCGAGCTGCTTTGCAAAACTCCTTGCCTCCGAGTTACAGGCGCTGTTTAAAATGGTCATACCATACCCTGCTGTTTGGCGCTATGTAGCGTTCTTTTTGGAGGTATGTAAACAGCTTTAGGATCGTTGTAATGCAGGAGGTGAGGCATCATCCCTTCTTCTTCATTCTGTCTCCCCCAGACAGTGAGGATTGCATCCTGGAGCCGCTGTCCCTGCCAGAAGGTCCAGGTGGCAGCACCACCTCGGAAGCTTCTCCATCTGTGCCGTGTGTCTTCTGTGAAGAACGCGTCCCTGCGGCTGAACAGGACAAGCTTCTGAAGCACATGATTATCGAGCATAAGATCGTTATAGCCGATGTCAAGCTGGTCGCTGACTTTCCAAGGTAAATGCTGGTTTCGCTTGTAAAAGGATTGAATGTGTTATTCCTTAGAGGAGAGGCATAACTTACACATAAAGTTATTCCTATACAACTATGAAAAGTACATTCTTTTTCAGGTTTCTCCTCAGACTTCTTAAAAAATCTGTGCACTCATTTGCCTCCTGAGTGTGTACGTTGTTTTGGGAATGTCCCATCCTGTTGCCTACGGGTTCTGGAAACAGACCAGCTTTCCCAAGAGGAGACGCTGTTCCCTTTGTCACGTCCCACCAGCGGGCTGACGCTGCTGATCGCTATCAGGCTGATTTTATGCTTCAGGCCACAGGGTCCTGCTCAGGAAGGCCTTCTAGATAGTCCAGAATAGACTCAGCCACCAAAGGGCGGGACTGCGAACAGGGCTCCTTGGAGCCTGTCAAGCCAAAGGTGTATCGTCCACAGAACTCTCAGCTTAAGCGCTGTGATGAGCTTGGAAACCAGAGAAAAACTGAGCCACGCAGCAGGCCGAGAGGCTTTAGGAGTGGATGGCTGTTGAGGTCAGCGACCTAGGTACTGAGAGGAAGAGGATGAGGAAGATGAGCGTGTGGAGGTGAGGGCTAGGGGCTGCCAGCGTTGGGCATGGATGACACGTAAGAACCTGGCCTGCTCAGCCAAGGCCCGAGGTGAGCTGGACTCCGCGTACGAGCACCTGACTTAGAATGATCCACACCAACAGACAAGTAACGCAGGCAATTATTCCTTTTTCCTCAGTTCAGAATTTTTGGAAGTGATTGTCCAAGAGAAAGCCTTCTCTTAAGCAGCGTTACTGGAGTAGGGATGTTGATGTCATTAGTTTAATCTTGGCAGGCATTTTCCGTGGAAACAACGTCATGGTCGCTAATGACTTTGTATAGTTACTGAAAGCACGCATTTTGTTATGTGTGACGAGGTCTGTCCTGGTTTCCCTGCAGAGCATTAGAGCAGCCCAGACATTACAATGCCCCTGCATCTAGCTGGACTCCTTACCTCCCAGACCACACCATTCCCAGCAAGTAACTCCTTTCTCATGTTGGGACCTGCAGAGCAGTCAGCTGTGTTAGAGTGGACTATGAAACCCGCCAGCCTAGGGCTCAGTGCAGACTCCGTGACTTTCGAACCGTGACTTCCAGCTACTTACTTAGCCACCGTTAGCCTCGGTGTTCTCATCTGTGAAATGAGGTAACACCAGTCCTCCTAGATTGTCAGGTGTTACTTAAACCAGTGTGTGTACAGCACCTGCTACACTGTTGGTATGACTCGCATCTGTTTGTGGGCAGGAAAATCTCGGGCCTTAGGAATCAGCAATTACGTGTGAGGCTCAATCACCCTCAAAAGGCAGTTATGTAATAAAATGGATACTTTAATCAAAAAGAAAAAGATGCATGTCTGATGTGAGTGCTTCATAAATAATGTGTGTAGGTGACATTTACTTTAAATTTGGAAACCTAGATTCTCCTTGTCAACTATCCTCCTAATTAAGTAATGTTTTCATTCTCAGGAAGTAAAAATGTGATTAATTAAAATCGATCAGGAATGTAAATGAGTGAACTCTGTTGCTTTTAAATACCTTTAATGTATCCAATCTCCCTTAGCTAACACCTTCCTGCTGTTTAGGGACACTGAAAATTCCTCTCCAAAACAACACAAGCATTGGAACCGTCTCAACATTATGTGACGTTTTCCTATCTTCAGAAAAGCAGTTATAATAGGGTTTGTGGGGTGGAGGTGGAGGGAACAGTAAGAGGTTCAATTGGCATGAATTAATTCACTGAGAACTTCTTTAGAAATTTAATAATTCATACACACACACATACACACACACACACACACACACACAACTTCTCAGCAGTTGTTTTGAGTATAAGTAATAAAGATCATAAATAATAGATAAGAGAGTGACTTACCTTGTGCTTTATAAGAAAGCTATAAGTTTTTATGTTAAATATATTTGACATTTTCTTTATTGGAACAAAGTAACATTAAGACTTTCTCAGGCAGAGGGAATAAGACAAAAACAAAAATAAAAACCTTTCCTTTGAGCCATTTAATGTAGTTATTTATACTAAGCTATATGCTTGCTTTATTCAGCAGGTAAAATTTTTCCAGAAGATAAATGTTAACTCCTTAATTCTTGCCCCTTTCTATATTAAATTCCACTCATTCAATGCTACTTAATTAACAACCATATCTCAAATCTGTATGCCTCTGTCAGCAAACACACCAGTTACAATGGGGGCTGGGCAGGCAAGATATGATTACAAGGATTTTTTTGTGAGATGATTTTGTGAGACATGATTGTAGTTCTTTCCAAAGATAAGAGTATCTGCTGATGATCTAATAATTACTTTTATGGCTTTTTAATAAAGTATGAAATGCTTTGATAACTCATCCAAGTAAAGAGTTCATACCATGTATTATTTTCTGGCTGCCTTTATATACTGAGTGGCTATAATTGTAGTTATAAATAAACAAGAGAAATGGGGGTTGGAATGAAAAAGAGACGTACTAAATGACCCCTTAACATTGAAAATTAAGTTTGAGTGGGTGGGAAAAAAATGCCACAAGAAGCATGAATTGAAGATCTATCTTGAAGCCGTCCCTCAATGGAATACAATTTCTCTGAATGCTTCTACCAAACACAGGAGAATGGATACATTGACACCTTTTAATTCTGATAATAAACTAAGAAAGTACTATTAGATGTTTAACTAGGATGCGTCTTAAATTTAGACTTAGGTCAAATGTATATTGCAGTTCAGATCTATTTATATTGTATAATACAATAAGATATGATACATATTGGGTCTTCGGAAAAGTCATGACGTATTTTGTCTATGTTTTTCTTTATATAAAGAACAAAGATCCATCAATGACATATTGCCCGTTTTGTTCGATAACCTTTTGCCATCTTTCAGTGAGCTTCATAATTCCTCGTTCATAGAAGGACCTGTCTTTATTTGCAAAAAACTGAAAAAGGTACTGATTTACAGCCTCATCTGAATTGAACATTATACCATGTAAGGAGTTTTGAAGAGAGTGAAACAAGTGGAAGTCTGACAGCACAAGGTCAGGCGAGTATGGTGGGTGTAGCAACACATCCCATCCAAGCTCCAATAATTTTTGACGGGTGATCAAATGTGTGTGGTCTCATGTTGTCACTATGGAACACAACTCCTTTACAATTAACAAGCTCTGGATGTTTCTGGATGATGGATTCGTTCAAACAGTCCAATTGCCGACATTCAAATTGATTGTTTGGTTCCTTGGTAGGAGCTCGAAAAACACGACACCTTTCAAAGTCCACCACACTGAGAGCATAACCTTCCTCAGATGAATGTCTGCTTTCGATGTCATTTGAGGCGAAGCATCACGTCAGGACCAAGACCATTTGTGCACCACACTGTTGTAAACAATCCACTTCTCATCACCAGTTATCAGTTGCTTCAAAAAAGGATCATTTCCCTCACGTTTAATGAGCATATTGCAGATGTTTATACGCACCGTCAAATGAACTTCTTTGAGTTCATGCGGAACCCAAATATTGAGCTTACTTACATATCCCAGCTTCTTCAGGTGGTCGTGAATGCTTGAATGATGGATGTTCAATGTGTCTGCAATCTCTCGTGTCATGTAACATGGGTTTGACTCAATCAATGCCTTTATTTTGTTGTCATCAACCTCGGTGGGCCTCCCTGACCAAGGAGCGTCGTTGAGATCAAAATCACCAGCATGGAATTTCATGAACCATCGTTGGCACTGACGTTCTTGTAGAGCATTGTCACTGTAAACTTTATGCAACTTTTCACAAGCTTGATGCGCGTTCTTCCGTTTATGGAAGTAAAACAGTAAAATATGGCAAAAATGCACAGTTTGGTCTTCCCTCTTCAACTTGTTGTAAAATCTCCAAAACTCAACCAAATCGCTCAATTTTTTTTTTGAATGAAGCTAGAACTGTCAGCTGTCAAACAACATAGCAAATAACATAGATGCAATTGACTTTAGTACTTCCAGAAATGAACTAGTGTTATCTGTTGCAAACATGTGTCATGACTTTTCCGAAGACCCAATAATTTTATATACTGGATGAAAATTTATAGTTATATTTTGCTTTTGTAAAGAGATTTGTCTCTGATGTTGTTGTCACCCAACCTTTGGTCAGGAAGAGAACATTCAAATGACAGCTCTATGCCAGACCTATTACCTTCCTTCTCTCAGAAGCTACCTAACAATATGTCATAGGTGTTCCCAGAGATGGTATCTGAAAAGCATCATTTTCAAAATCCCTGGCTCCTTATTCATGGAGCAGTACAATAACTTATAACCAATGCCAGACCATGAGCATATAGCAGAGTCCTCCTCTCCCTTCATCCCACGGGAAGCCCCCCTAACTACCTGAGGAGGGTGGCCAAGGTTCTGCTAGACCAAATCTCCCCATGGTTTTAAGTTTATTAATGTCAGTAATTGCCTTTCTTATGCCCACCACCTGGAAGTAAACTGTGATACACAGTGAGTATAGGGTCTGAACCTTGTCTTCAAAACTCAAGGAGACAGCACCCAACATGGAAGTCCTGGGAGACTGCAACCCATGGACTGTTTGGACCAGGACGTTGTTACCTCTGGACGGGACACTTCTTTGTACCTCTTGCCGAGTCAGGCAGTTCCAATCCACAGCGCAGGCAGCCGTGTCACCTCTCAGTACTTATGAGGAGTTCAGGGCAGTCCAGACCCACGGCTACTATTAGGTCGCCAGCTCCTTTTAGAGGGAGGGTTGTCCCTCTTCCTTCAGGTCTTCGTTTCTGTAGTTCCCTTTTGCCTTGTCAAAAAGCACTCTCCTTGGTCTCTAAGGAAAAAAATATTTCCCGTCTCCATTACAACTGTATTTCTAGGGGCTCTTTCCTGGCCCTGCGCTGTCTTTTCTGCAATCCGTGTATAGATTGGTCCTCGCATGGCCCTAGAGGCGCTGTGTTGTGAGAGACCTGAGTTTGGGTTTGCAGCTGGAGAGACCGAGTGCAGGTCCCAATTCTGCCATGCTCGTTGGTGACCCCGGCTGGTAAGGTTTCAGGAAGCAGGGGCTGCCCGTGACTGTCACCCTCACGTCATCCTCGTCGTCATCACGCTGCCCTTCCGCCCCCTATGCGTGTCCTCTGATACTATCAATGTAACTACTGTAATGTGCTCCTTAAATGTTTGAGGAAAGGTTATCATCTTTTTGTTGTTATTTTAGACACCAGTATTTCTCTGGAATAAACATAAATTCTTGACTACTCAAATCTAAGTATGTTACTTTTTCTTATAATAATAACTACCATTTATTAATCACCCAGGATATTAGGTGCTGCTTCGTGTATATTATCCTATGTAAGTATCAACAGTTTATTTTATAAATGAGTAACCTGAGTTTCCAAAGGGTTAAACAGCATTAAACTCGGGTTGTCAGGTTGTTGTCTCTGAACATAAAGTCCCTGCTCCTCTATTGCCCGCAGGCCTGGTAGGGTCAGTTATCAAGACATCAGCTGTGAGGGTTTGATCACAGTCTTGATTTTAAAAGCCAGACTTTTCCTAGCACAGGATCTGTGCAGATAAGCGCCCCTGCTAGCGACTCTTCATTACAGACTAGGTCAGTGCCGATTCAAAGGGCAGCCAGGTCGCTGGTACCCGCGCTTCTGGCTCATCTGCCGCGTGTCATTTCACACAGATCTTTTGCTAAGTCTGAACATTTGTCAAAGGTAAGCAGCCCATGTATTCAAGGACTTATCACTGCCTTCTAATAAACTGTAGACCCAGAGTGGAACTAATATTATAATGGGCTGACCACTAGCCTCAGTCCTGTCCAGAGGCTGTCACCCAGATGGCCCTCCGTGGAGTGGTGATCAGGAGGGACGAACTCGTCCTTGGGGTATTCAGTGGCAGCCCGGAGGGGACTCCATGGAGTGCTTGGAGCTCCTAGATTTCTAAGTCGGTTATCTTGGCCCTGGTTCTGCTGCGTAAATGTGATTAGTCACAAAAACAGATGTCTGTTTTCAGACTTCGGTTTGGAAGAACAGTCCATCTTCCGTTCCTGACATCTCTCACAGAGCTGCTCCTGGGGTTCTTTAGCCCTGTCACCACTTTGCAATAGAAAGCATGCTGATGGGAGAATAAGAAAAGTGGCTGGGATGTCATTTGTATTCTCTGAGGCCTTCTCTTGCCTCTTGTTTCTCCCTTTTTTTCTCTCTTCCTTGGAGGGAAGAGAAAAGCCACTGGTGGGGAGTAGGAAAGAGAATGAAAGTAGCCGTAGCAAGCTGTAGCGTGGAGGGTGCGGAGCCGGCCCGGGGCAGCCGAGGAAATCGGGTTTTGTAGATACTTTTCCTCCATGTGTACTTTGATGGATCGGCTATGCACGTGCCCCCTGCCTCGATACTTCTAAACAGAAGCCAGCGAGCGGCCAGCGAGTCATGGTGCATCAGTTACAGTATCTAAGCTTTGAGGCGGAGCTGGCGCCTCAGATGTATTATTTTCAGATCTCATAAGGAAAGGTCTAGCACTGTTCTATAAGCAAACAGTTCTCCCCGTACCTACCTGTCCAGGTCAAAGTGTGGTTGGACACGAGAAGAAAGAACTTCAACATGTGGTTCTATTTTTATACTTAATTCTTTTCCTTACATATTCTATACTCACTGTTGTCATCCATTTGTATTTTGTATTAGCTCGTGTCACAGTTCTCGCTTTCTCTCAGGCCTCTGTCCCAGCACGTAACTTTTTTCTAATACATGAATGCCCTTTCTATAGAACACCATGGGATGTAGAAACGAATGTTAAGAAAACGGAAAATAAGAACAAAATATTGGGAATTGGAGGCTACTTAGAAAATCTCCCAGGAATCTTCAGATGCTCTTCTACCTCTTTAAAACATGTATTGTGGGGGTGACCAGTTAGCTCAGGTGGTCAGAGCGTGGTGCTGGTAACACCAAGGTTGCCAGTTCGATCCCTGCATGGGCCACGGTGAGTTGCGCCCTCCCTAAAAGAACCAACTATGCCATTGTAGCATGAAAGCAATGTGTAACCAATGACCGTGGCTGTTCCCCCATGTAAAAATAAAGAAAGAAAACATGTATTGTGGACCTACTATGTATAAAACACGGCTAGGTCCTATATCAGGCCATTTAAAATGTCCAAATTCCTACTCTCTGTATGTTTCATCTGTTTCAGTAAGCCTCATCTCTGTCACAGGTGTTGGTTCTTCATTGTAAGTTTCTTTAATCTGTTAATTGTGTAGTCTGATAAACTGTTGTTGACCCCGAGAATGAATGTACCTCTTAAGAACGACTCCTGGTGGCTGACTCAAATTTAAAACCAGAGCCTAGCAGCCATTGTAAGCAGGGGCCTGTCACACAAACCACACTTCAGGGAGAAGCCTGCACTGAACTGCCAGCCTGCACTGTATTCCTGCCACCTGAGCCAACCCTTATAAAGGAGATCCTGGAATCTATTTCAACCAATAGGACTGAGGCTTTTCACATCCAATCAGAGCTGTGCAGCTATATCCTCATTTGCATCTTTACAACCCATCAGTTCAGTGCTATTTGACCAATCAAACTGAAGATTTGGAGTCCTCATTTATAATAGAAATGGCCCAATCAGGGTCCATCAGGCACTCTTAAGTCAGCCCACTTTCTGTCTCGGTGGAGCACACTTTGAGTTTTAATCAAAGACTGCATTTCCCCAGCTGGAGCTGCAACATCGGCTGAGCTGTCTCACCAGTCTTAACAATGGGGCCACCTCAGAAGAGCCTCTTTGTAGTCAAGCTGTTTCACAATTGGGCTGTTTGCACTGAATAAAGTCTCCCCCTTCACTGCACCCCGAATTGCGGATTCCTGTTGGTATGAAATTGGCACCAACGACCACCAGTTGACACTGTCAACTCTAGAGTCAGCCTTGCCATCCCCTTTCTCCCCGTGAAGGGGAACACATTCCCCTGGTACCATTTGACAGATGAGATTGCAGATGCCAATGTAAATCTTGTTAGATAAATGGAAAGGTGAGCCGCTTGTCGGGCCCTGTCACCTTCCTCACCCTCCATCAGATCTGCAGGTCTGAGTGCTACACGCTGATAAATTTTACAATGTAGCCAGTGTGCTACTTCTAACTCTGCTCATTAGATAGAAGAATTGTAAACCTGACTATTTTTCCAAAGGCTAACTTTGCCTCACATCAGACACAGTGTGGACATAAGGAACTTCACGCTCTTGTTATGTAGACACTGAATTCGGTTGACTTCTTGCATCATTATTATGACTGTTGTTATTTATGATTCATTTTAACTTTCCCATATGTCTGTTTATTGAACTTAGGGATAGTAAAGTTTAATCATTTTCATGCCTTTACAGAGTCATTTCATTTCATTAAATATTTAGTTCCTGTTTCTACAGTGCCATTTAAAATGCCCTTTCTAAGGAATGCCTTTCTATTTACAAATTTTCCAGCAGCTTTCGGTCAACATTTGATTTGTTGCTTTGGGATAATTAAATGTTCTAGAAAATTCTATTCTAAAGAAAGTACTATAGTGAGACCTCACCATCTTTTCTGTTTGATTGTCCTAAGGTACATTTTATATTGGAGGAAAAGGTTTGCTGAGCAGCCCATTACAGACTTTTGCAGTGTGATAAGAATCAATTCCACAGCTCCACTTGGTAAGTGAACATCTTGGCTACCATCTTTTTTGCACAATCCAAAAATTCCAAGGAATAATCTCACTTTAGGTTATGTTAGAATTCTCACTTAGGTTAGAATTCTTTCACTTTCATGATAACTAAAATTAAGTTGCTGTTTATATTGCCTAACTTCAATAAAGCTAATATATCTATATACCAGAAAAGAGATCCAGATAGATAGATAGATAGATAGATAGAGAGAGAGAGAGAGAGAGAGAGAGAGAGAGAGAGAGAGAGAGAGATGTATTTTAAAGGAATAAGTCCTATGGAAAAATTGATAAATGTTGTTTCTCATTTTTCTAATCTCTCAACAGAAGAACAGGACAATTATTTTTTGTTGTGCGACGTTTTACCAGAAGACAGAGTACTTAGAGAAGAGCTACAGAAACAGAGACTGGTAAGAACTGTTTTACAGGATGAACGGTTTATTGGACATACACACAGAATCATTTTTCTTATTGTTCTTTGGTTGTGGTTTTTACTTTTTATTCTGGACACTTTCAAACATACACAAAAGAAAAGACAATACGTCGAGATCTTCAAGCAGAAAAAAAGTACACACTTGATGGAAGATGAAAGAATTTCATGTTAAAAATGCAGAGAGAATTTTTGGCTTTGTTTTGCTTCCTGGATTATATCTAAAACAACAACAAAGCTTACACATTTTAAGTGCAATTTTAGCTGCCTGACACATGCTAGGGTTCAGCAGTCATGGAAAAATGCCCTCAGCTAAAATTGAGTTGAATTGATTAACTTCTTTTTTCTCCTCTTCACTGGAATGTGCTATGTACTAGCACTTCTACTCCCCTTTATGAATTAAGCATATGGCTTGATTAACCTAGTAGCCTTTCTCATTTTCAGCCTGAATCCTAAGCAAGCCAGTTTTAAAATCTCAGCATCTTTAGTCTTTCAAAAAGGTAGCAGTGTATACAACTGTTCACATTTTTATTTTCATAAATTGAACAGGCATTAATTTTTTAAGTTACTAATTTTGTATAAAAGTATGTAGCTTTCCATTACTATTTTTGTTTTAATCTCAACTATGACTTGAAATTGACTTGCTCTTCCTTTAGGGGTTACTTAGAAGTATTCCTCATATCTTTGGAGTTGGCTAGATATATTAGGAGAGAGAGCTATGATTTCAGTGTTTCTGCCAAATCCTCAAGAGATCTAGGAGGACAGTAAACCCCATCTACCATGATTTGAGAAAGTCCCCTGAAGCACGTTATGTTTTATAAACATCCCAAATGATTATTTCTCCCGTAAGGAGAGATGATATTGTTGGATGTTAATTTATATGTAAGAAAAATTATGCTTTTTCTGGAGCAACAAACCCAAAGAAGAAACAGGGCTCCCTGGGTTTCTTTTCTTTTCCTATTGTAATGTCTTAAGAAATCTGCAAGACAAGGAAGGATTCAGTTATGTATTATGGATTTTGTTTGCTTGTACAATTCCTAGGTGTTAATTTCCATGAATTTTTTCACTCTTGCTCACAGTGGCCTTAACTGAGAATGATCAAACTGTCATAACCTAGTACCCCCAAGGCCTTCTTTATGACAACTCAAAGCCTGCTGCTTCAGGCATCGCTGCTACTCAACACATAGCATCTTTACTATATGTCCACAGAGAGACTCACATCCCTAGAAAGATCTACTTCTATAAAATTTAGGTGGCTGTTTAAGACCCTGACACCAGTTCCAACCTGCAATTTTCTTTCTCCCGCACCATCAAGCACTTCTCCAACACCAACCTACGATTCAGCTCAATTCTGTCACCTGTCTACCCAGAGAGAGCGTCAGAAACCCACAGGTTAACTAAGGGCTCAGCCCCACAACTCTGCCCTCCACTTCAGATGCCAGCCACAGTCCAGCTCAGCTGTGCTTCTGACCTACTGGCTATGAACCCATGGTTCCCATGACCTTTCCTTGGGTTCGATGAATTTGCTAGAGCAGCTCATTGCTAGTTCCTGGAACTCAGGAAATCGGTTTCCTCACTACATAACCAGTATATTACAAAGGACATTAAAGGATAGGAACCAACCCGGGCAAATGAAGCGATACGGAGGGTGAGACCCCAAGCAAAGGAGCTCTGTCCCTGTGCAGCTGGGAGCCCGAAAGGCAGCTCGGGGGTGCCTTCTGGTTCATCAGCATGGAGGCTTCCCAAACCCTGTCCTTTTGGGGTTTTGTGGCAGCTTAGGCATGATTGATTAAATCATTTGACACTGGTAATTGAGCTCAGTCTCCCACCCCTCTCCCCTCCAAGGAGGTGGGGGTGAAGGTGGCACTAAGAGCTTCAGCTCTGTAATCACACGGTTGAATCCACTGGCAACTGGCCCCTATCTGTGGGTTCCGTGGGTGCTTTCCAGAAGCCACTTCAGCCGCATAACAAAAGACACCTTTGTAGCTCTCAACACTTAGGAAATTCCAAGGAATTTAGTAACTGTGTGCCAGGAACAAAGACCAAATATGTATTTCTTATTATAAATCATAACATCATACATTTTTACCAGCTTTATAGTCTGACAGTGATTAGATTTGATGAAAGTGAGCATTATGGCAGCTTTAAAGAAACAAAATGTGATGAAATTACAGTCAATTGGAGTAGATTCATAGAATTGCTCCTTAGCTAGATTAGACGATCGTATAAAGAAGCACGAGCATGCCTCATGTCATAAGAGAGTACAGTCCAGAGAGCCAAGGCAGACACTGTGTGCTTACCTTGATAACGACCTGGCGGAGTCTCTTGGAGCGCTGGTGCATGTGGGGCCCCTTAGAGCAGCATCTGCCATGTGGAAAGCACGCAAATGTCAATAACACAAAGAAGAATAATACTGCATCTTAACAAGGAGAAGGACTGGGGTAGTTGGAGAGTTGTAAAAAAGGGAAGAAAGTGCATTTGGATCTAAACTGACAAGAGAGGAGCTCTGAGATGCCCTAAAGTAAATGACAGAGGCTGGAGCGTGAGAGAACAAGACGGGAATAGCTAACAGTGAGCAGCTGTGGGCCGACCATGGAGCACCGCTGGCATCCGGAGTGTGTGGTGGGGCCTTGACTCAGCCTCAGGCGGCTGCTGGCCACCACCAGAGGCACCGCATACTGCACACGCATGAGCTTCCAGGGCCAATGCCTGGAACCCAGCAAAGTACCTCTACTTCTTCCTTACAGACTGCGCACCTGTCCCTCCACTTGCCCCGCCTCACCTTTTCCCGCCCCCTTATCTGTAGCCAATGTGAATCCTTTCAAAACAACTTACATCTTTATTCCCCAGAACATAATGTATAAAAGCGCCGCCAGCTCCTGGCTGGTGGACACTCTGCCTCCTCCAGGCAGCCCTAGGGCGGTGCTTTAGACTGCAGGCCCCGGGACCTGGTCCTTTTCTGGCTCATTTAGGGCTCAGTAAACCTTTCCTTCAGAAAAGCTTTCAGCCATGGAAAGTGTTTAACAAAATGTTCAATGCGTCTTCAGAAACGTTGATAAGTCTAGTCTGGCTGAAGTAGAATTTTTTTTGGAGGAGGAATGTGAGAGATTTGAAGAGGTAATATGGAGACAAATTGTGGAAATCTATCAGTGCCAGGAGCACTGACTGATGTCTCCTCACTGATCATAAGAGTGAAACGAAGATGATAATGTAGCTATAAAATCCACTAGAAGCTGACCCGTCCGGAGGTGAGGAAGAAGCTAACAGTTCTGGGCCAGCCTGGTGCCATGGCATCTGTTGGGCCCTGGGCTTCAGAGCAGCCTGTGAGGTTGCTGTTAGCTGCAGTTCCGTTGATGAGGAAACTGGCGTAGAAAGGCTGATTGGCCCAGGGCCACGTCAGGAGGGAGGCTCTGAGCCAGGCGTGCCTGGTCCATGTCTGTGCCGTCGCGCCCTGCCGTCCAGTCGTTATTTATTCAGCTTCCCACATGCCTGGAGGTCTCCTGACTGGTCTGTATCGGGGGTTTTCAGACCAGGACTGGAGTTCAGGGAAAGCAGAGGAACCAAGGTGAGGGGATCAACAGAAAGAAAAGATTTGCTGAACAGCAAGACCACAGGCTGGCTGCAGCCCGCGATTTCATCACAGTTTCATGCTGGTGCGGGCGACCTCCTTTGGGAAGTGGCAGTCATGACGGGATGTCTATTTTGTACCTAACAGGCTCTGTCAATCAGTAACAGGCATTTCCAGAAAGCAGTCCGAGTGACCAAACGACACAACTTGCAACAGAAGTCATAACACACCTTTTTTCTTCTGCCAAGTGAACAAGATTTGAAAATAAGAATACCAAATAGTGGCAAGAATGCTAAAAGACAAGCGCTTTTTCAGCTGCTTTTAAAAGCGGATTGGTGTCCGGCTCCGCAAAGGCAGTTGGACGTCACGTGTTGGAACTCTCGAGAACGGTTGTGCCCTCGGTCCAAGAATCACAGTCCCAGAGGATTATGACGTCACTTGCTCTGTAACGGCTGGGTTGGTTTTTCCTTATGTCGTTACTGACTGTATTTCATCAAACGATTCCTCTTCGTTAATCAGCTTCAGCCTGGCTTCTGGAAAGTGGTTTACACCGATTGAATTGCGTGGTGGCGATGGGTCTGTATAATCTCGCCTGTTGGTGTGAACTCAGCTTAGCGTCAGGAGGCTCTCGAGGGAAGGCCATGAGGTAGGAGCCTCCCAGGAGCCCGGGCGTGGCGTCTGCTCCCCGATCGCGTTCGTGTTGACTTGCACATGTGTCATCTTTCATGTTTCTCTCTCATTTGGAACTCTAAGGAAAGCGTGTAGCTTAAATACCTCTATGGTTTGCTCTTAGTTCAAAATGACTTTGTAACTTCTTTGAGGACAGGGTTATATTTAAATATCCTTTGGTAGCATTCACTGTACTGCTAACTTCAAGTTGGTATTTTCCCCCAAACCCCCTTTTGTTAATCCCTGTGTCTGAATGGCTGGAGGGATGTGGAGTCCAAGCGATCCACTTATGGTTACCATACCATATTGAAGGTAGAACTACATTTCTTTTCCCGGTTTTCTTCTAGATCACATGTTCTTGAGATTTGTGAGAGGTGTGTGTGTTCCCAGTTTTCTTTCTGAAATGCTTGACACGTCTTTGAATTTCTTCCTCTGTGCTCTGAAGGGAACTACAGAACCAGGAACGATGCCTGCGGGTTTTAGTAGCTTTTGCAGCCCCCCACTTCAGCTCCCGTCTTCAGCGTCCCCTCGATCTCGTCATTCCCCCTAATCGCCTCCCTCCTTCCTCTTCCCTGGGTGTTTGTGTTTCTCAGGGGCTTGCCCCCCACGTAGGGGTGCCGGGTATTCACTGTCATTCCCACCACGTGCTGATGGCATACCTTTAGGTGCTGGCACAGCGAGGTAGTCGCGGTAGGTACCTGTGGATTGAGTTCATCTGCAGCTTTCATCCTGGTCCCCCTCTG